TCCTGGTAATATTGAATGTTTACTGATTTGCTGTGTTTGACATGACAATTCCTTCCCAGTTCTCCTTTGTTCATCTGTTGGTCTGATGAAACACACTTTTTCCTGTGTTTTGGTGGGTGAAATTGTCTTTCTTCTTCATCTGTATATACTATTCCTTTAAGAATTTTCTGCACTTCTGCCCTAGTTGGCATGAATTGCCTTAATGTGCTTTTCTTGAAATATTTATCCATAAATTTTAAAAAATAACTTTACTGGGCATAGCAATCTTTGTTGACAGTTACTTACTTTCAGGGCTTGAAATGTATCCTTCCATGCCTTCCTGGTTTGGCATTTAGGGTTGTTGGTGACAGATCTAATGTTATTCTAATGTTTTTGCCAGTATGTGAATTATTTTTTCCCTTACAGCTTTTAAAATTGTTTCTTTGTATTCTTTTTTCAGAAAGTCATTTTTTTAAACTTTTTTTTTTCATGTGAATGCATGTATTGCCTGCATATAGGTAAGTGCACCCATGCTGTGCAAATGCCCGCAGCCACAGAAAAGGCTGTTGGATCCCCTGGAACTGGAGTTACGGACAGTTGTTAGCCGCCATGCGGGTGCTGGGATTCAAACCTGGGTCTTCTGCAAGAACAGCCACTGTTCTTAACCTCTAAGCCATCTCTCCAGCCCCAAGAAAGTCATTTTTATTTCCAAAACTCTGCCATAAACTTTTAGCGGGTGCCAATAGCTACCTGCCACACTCGTACCAGGTTTTCTGTGTAGCCAGCAAACAGAGTCTGGCCATCAGCAGACCAGGCCAGAGAAGTATACTGGGGTGGCTCTGCTTTGCTGCTGGTGCTGACAAATTCTTGCTTCGGTTCATCCACAATGATCTTGCCCTCCAAATCCCAGATCTTGATACTGGGGCCTGTGGCAGCAGAGAGCCAGGAGTGGTTGGGGCTGAAGCACAGGGCAAAGTCGAGTATATAGAAATGCTTGCCTTCATTGAAAACTCACAGCATAGCCTGGCCATCCTTGCCTCCAGAAACACAGGGGGCTCCATCCAGAGAGGCAATCATTGTGTTCAGAAAGCCTGTGTGGCCAATGTGATTTATCTTCAGCTTGCACCTAGCCAGATTCCAGACACTGACCAGCCTGTTCCAGCTACAGGAGATGATGATAGGATTGCTGCTGTTGGGGAAGAAGTGGACATAGACACCCATTCTGAATGACTCTCATCCTATGGAAGATGGGGGTTGGGGTATTAGAGAACATTCTTGTTCCAGGAGACTCTAGATAGGTCTCTACCACTCCCCACTAAGTGGGATGCATTTCAATCATCTTGTTCTTTTAGTAGATTCAGGTTCTGAGGAGTTGTTTTGTATTTTTAACATGACTATGCTATATCATGAAAAGGTTTCTCTCTAGTCATGGTCATATCTATTTGTGGATTTTTAAATGTTTCCTGTGTTTAGATGTCATTTCTATAGGTTTGGGAAATTCTCAGCTATAATTTCATTAAATGGGTCATCTAAGTCATCTGACTTTATATTAGTTCTTTCTTTTATCCCATGGATTCTTTGATCTCATGAATGTATACAATACTTCTTGGAAGTTTTGGTCATGTTCATTTATTTATACCAGTATGTATTATTATCTTAACCTTATCTTCCATCCCTGAAATTTGTTCTTGTTTGGCCTTGTCTGCTGCTGATGGTTTCTGTTTTGTTTTTTAATTTGATTGATGCTTCATTTCTAGAGTTTTTTTTAAAAAGCCTCTTAATTTCCTTGCTGCATTTTCCTCTTTATTTTAAATTTTCCCTTCCATGTTTTGATTATTTCATCCACTTTGGAAACTTTCTTGTCTAGGTCTTGAATTGGTTTTATAACTTTCTTGTCTAGATCTTGGATTAAATTCCTTATCTATTTATTTGAGTCCTTTAGTCATTGATCTTTATCTCTGCATCTTTCTTTTCTGGTATTGAGAAGCCCTCAGCTTGCAGGGGTGTCCTAGTAGAATGCTGTCTCATACTATTTTAGTTTCTTTATTGTGTTTTATGCATCTGTTGGAGCATAGGTGTCCTCTAGTTTGTAGTTTCCCCCTTTTCCTACTGTTTTTATTTGTTTTTCAAAATTTTTTTTAGTTTTTCTTTGGTCTTTTTGAGACAGGGTCTCACTGTAGCCCCAGCTGGCATGGAACTCACTGTGTAGACCAGGCTAGCCTTGAACTCACAGAGCTCTACCTGCCTCTGCCTCCTGTATGCCACCATACCCAGTTAACAACTGACAAATGGAACTTCATGAAACTAAAATGCTTCTGTATAGCAAAGGGCACCATCAATCAAGTGAAGATGCAGCCAACAGAATGGGGAAAAGTATCTACCAGCTACACATCTGGTAGAGAGTTAGTGTCTAGAATATACAAAGAACTCAAAAATATGAAACATCAAAAAAACAAACCACCCAATTAAAAAATGAAAGAAAGTTTCTAAACAGAAAGTTCACAAAAGAAGAAATAAAAATGCTGAGAACCATTTTTTAAAATGTTCAACATTCTCAGCCATCAAGAAAAATGAAAATTAAAACTCTTTGAGATTTTATCTTATCATAGTAAGAATGACTAAGACGAAAAAAAAAAAAAGACATCAAATGCTGGTGTGAATGTGGGGAAAATAGAACACTTATTCACAGATGGTAGAAGTGCAAACTGGTGAAACCACTATGGAAATCTTATCATAGTAAGAATGACTAAGACGAAAAAAAAAAAAAGACATCAAATACTGGTGTGAATGTGGGGAAAATAGAACACTTATTCACAGTTGGTAGAAGTGCAAACTGGTGAAACCACTATGGAAATCAGTGTGGAGATTCCTCAAAATAAAAATAGACATAAATCTACCATATGATTGAGCTATACCACTCATGGGCATAGACCCAAAGGACTCTATATCCTACTACAGAGATACTTGCTAATCCATGTTTTCATTTTGTTTTTGTTTTTTGAGACAGAGGCAGAATTTCACCATATAGTCCAGAGCCCAGGCTGGTCTCAAACTCTCTGAGATCATCTTGCCTCAACCTTCTGACTTCTGGGGTTAAAGGCATGAGCCAACAATACATCTGGATTTTTTTTCTTCTTTAATATTTTAAAATATTTTATGTATTATTTTTATTTTTATTTGATGTGTATGAGTGCATTACCTGCACATATGTAAGTGTACCATGTAGTATAGTGCCCACAGAGGTCAGAAGAAGGCACTGAATCCCCTGGAACTGGAGTTACAGAGAGTTGTTAGCCACCATGTGGGTGCTGGGAACTGAACCTGGGTCTTCTGCAAGAGCAGCAGTGCTCTTAACTGCTGAGCTATCTCTCCAGCCCCTAAATGTTCAGTTCTTATATTTTGTTTGCTTGTTTACACATTTTCAAACGTGATGATAGCCAACATGAATGGCCACTTTCACAGCTTCCTTGAATTTGTCTGGGGAGACTTCCAGGTGTCCAGAACCACAATGAGAATCTTGGCTTAGATATTGAGCTTCAGAAAGCTAGCCATGGCTGCTACAGAAATCTTTCTGAGAGAGCTAATAGATGTCTATGTTTGACTTAGAATTTTACTGCATGGGGCTGGAGAGAGGGCTCAGTGATTAGAGCACTGGCTGCTCTTACAGAGGACCTGGGTTCAGTTCTAGCACCTACATGGTGGCTAACCCTTGTCCTTAACTCCAGTTCCAGGAGATCTGATGCCCTCTTCTGACCTCCACAAGTACTGTATGCATATGGTGCACTTACATACATGTAGGCAAAACATTTCTACACATAAAATAATAAAAATTCATTATGCAACACAGGCTGGCCTCAAATTTACAGTAATTCTCCTGCTCCTGCCTCCCAAGTGATAGGATTATAAGCCTGCAACCAACACATCTAGATTTAAAAAAACATACACCTTAAATTTCAATAATCATGTTAAGGGTAGTGTTGGTATTCTCAGATTGGTTACAGTATATACAGTGTGCTAAATGATGGGAAATTGGTACAATTTTTCATTTTTGAGTTGCTGACAAACTTCTGAGCCTTTTAAAGATATACAGATAAGTATAATATATATGATGCTTTTTATCTTTCAAAATAAAGCATATCATATATGTCCTAAACTTGTACAGAGAAAATTCCAAGAATAGTAACTCAGTAGTAGTGAGCACCTTCAAGACACAGACAGTGACGAAGAACTACTATCATTAAGAAGTATCAAGCTTCCTTAGAGAAAAGGTTGACTACAATCTGAATGTGGAAATATACAAGATATGCCTAGAATAGCATATCATCTTGCTTAGCAAGGAAGCTAGTTATTGAAATGGCTAGAGACAAGTCAAAAGGACTCAGAGCCAATTTGGTACACCTAGATGATATCAAGATGGTATATATTACATTTATGAGTCAGTAATCTTAACAATGACTCAGTATTGGATGACATTAATTTTTATGTATAAGATATAGCTTTAATTTTTTATCATTTACAAATTTATAAAGCAACATTTACAACGCAATGATGTGATATTTGGAATTTGCTTCAAAATATAAAAGGAGAAAATTGAAACAAGGTATTGGGCACACAGTATCAGCTATTTCCCTAAGAAATCATTATACATTTCTGTCCATATCTGTATATATTTGAAAATTTCATTGATAAAAATTTAAGTCCACTTTCATTCTAATCTGCCTTATAACCATACATTATCCCTTCACAATGGCCCAAAGAATGAAATGTGTATGAAAGGGGTTAATGCATAAAAAAAACCTTATCAAATCATTTGTTGCCCAACTATCATCTCAATTTGGAAAATGTTAGCCGTAAGAGAGAATTTCTACTATATATTATTAACACAATACATTATTAATGCCTGAAACCTAAATATGTAACTTCAGAGTACCAATGATTTAAGTGAAGCAGTACTACAGTGACACTCCTCCCTGGCCACAATGATGCTTTAGTAGAAAACAGAAATTAATACAGCTATTTACCTTTACTGGATCCTGCTATAGTAGATCTATCTGAGTATTTAGAATGGGAAATCTCTGTTTCTGATTTTCTTTGTATAACTGTTTGGTTTCCAAACCACTTGGGTCCTAAATAAAAGACTGCAAATTTCTGCTGAATATCAAGACCAACTGGAAAGAGAAAAATGTATACAAATGCTTATTAAAGTCATATTGTCTATATAGAGACTATTTTTAATCTCTTATATTATGTTAGCACTAAAGCTAAGAAGTCCAGGAAAGTAAAACATCTTGAAAAGTTTACAAAATATGACAAATGAAACTGTATACATCTATCATGATAAAAAGTATTAAAATAAAAATGTTTCTATAATTGAAATTTAACTATCTGGGAAAACAAAATATCTATAAATGAAAAAACAAATTCTGAAATATTCTATCTGTTCCATACTTTCTTTTTTTCTTTCTTTTTTTTTTTTGGCTTTAAAGTTTTTTTTTTTAATTTTCACAAAAACTTTATTAATTTCATACATGCATATAAGGTGTTTTGATCAAATCCATGCCCACTCCCTCCCCTCCAACATTCCCCCCTCTGAAC